AATCATTCTTATGTACAAGATTATTTTAATTCTCAGACTTGCTGATTGTTAGCTATAGAAATAACCCATATTGACAAATCATCTGTTAAAGTCTGAAAGCTTTGGTTGTCGACCAGCAAAAAAATCATTACTCCGGTCTCCATATATATACTTTTTATAAAGGTTCAGCAGACCATTGACATTTCCTGTTACACTGTACTTGTCATTATAGACCTATTCCGATCTGATTTCAAGAGTGTCTCAACATAGCTTCCCTACTGACATTGTGTAACAGGGTTTTTCTTTTAATGTTCATCTTTCAATCCAAATCAGAATGGTACAAATGTTAGCATCAATATACCAAGTTAAAGTAAAAGAAAAGATTTCTTTCTTTGCAGTTTTGCATGGGCTTGCCTAATCTTCATTAGCCAAACATGATGCAGAATACAAGGAAGTAAACTGAATTTTATTTGATTCCCAGACAGTGTGGTCTCTATGATATTTTATTCTAACCTATCTCTGACACAGCGTATAAATATATAATGAGCCTACTGACATTTAGCACTATTCAAGTAGTATTGACGTTTTTTTTTTCTTTGTGACTTGTGTAATGAGATCTCGGGTATCAGGACTGAGTCTTGAATCAATCTATTCCTAGATATTTTCTGTAGCCAATTTAAGATGGCTGAAACGTAAAATCTCTCTTGAGACAGCTAGAAATAATCTGTAGAAAGATATTTCATGTTACTTTGACAAATCTGAAACCTGAGATGTATAATCATGATGTAAATATGATATTTTTTAAATACTATGAATTTTTAACTCAATCACAAGTCATTCTAAAAGTTAAATCATGCAGCTAGTGTTTGGTGCCATTATTCTAATATTACTCTATATTCATGTATGTTGCACACTGAGGTTCTTGAAAAGGTGTTTTTGGCTTTTATAATCTCCACTACACTAGCCATCAATGATCTTAGGAAATTATATTTTAATCTTGTTTGGGTGAATTTGGAATCATTCTTTTGAAATTAATAACAAACATTCAAAAACACCTTTTGTAATTAAAGCTGTAGATGAAAGGGGAATTTGATATTGAATATTGATTGGTTGGATATTTTAGTATCCTAGAAACTGTGGTACATTACATATTATTCAGATTATGTCTGACAAGTGTAGTAACCTGTAGAAAAGCATGAAAAGAAACATTTAGTATCTGTCTTTTTAATTTCAAGATTTTCAAACTGGTTTCTAGATTGGTTTAACAGTGTCTTATACAGTGAAAACTCAATTAGTCCACAACGGTAAAGATGAAGTTCCGCACAGTAACTCAAAGTCCAAGTTCGGTCCCAGCCATATCCTTCTTTAATCCTTATTAAAAAATATGTTAAGATACATAAAATAACTGGCTTAATACAAACTAATCTCACGGTCCCATTAAACAATTATTGCCTAAATAACTGATATATTATCAAAATCATTATCTTGCAGATAATACACATATAATCCATGCACTCACATATCTTATTCATGTACTAAAATATTTGAATTGTCACTTCATTTGACATCGATTTTCTGTCAGTAAAAAAATTGATTGCAAAAATATGTCCATGGAATTACATCTTATCTTAAAAGATTATAGTATTATAATTGTAATCCGTCTAATCAATCATTTTACACTTTTTGATGTTAAAAAAGAAATGGCACCATTAGAATTGGATGATGCTGAAAATAGATTTCACAACGTTGTTATATTTTAATATTTAATGTTACAGCTTATCAGTTAGTTGGTATAGAGTTTATGGATTTTGATATCACTTTGTTCTTCAAAACTTCGAACATTATCAGGTTAATAAATATGATGCAGGATGCCTAGTCTAGAATTAAATGTGAAGAATTCACACCTTGCTTATTTGTAATTTGAAAATATAATTTCGGAGTAAAGTGACTCTCACACCATCGCCTGTTGCGTATGGTTGCCAATAAGAATAGCAGCCATAAATTTCGAAAGGTAACTCTTGGCTTTCTATTCTAGTTAATAAACTCCTCTAAGGTAAATCAATTACTGAAATTCTTGGTGAAATCTTAGGAAGAATATTGATTATTTTAATTCATATATGGCGCCAATCTATCAAGAGAGTGTCATCCACTAAATTAACTCTCTTGGGAACTTATTTTAACAGTTTTTCTAGTTTTCATCAGTAAAATAAGACGTTTTAACTCAATGATAAGGTGAAAGGATAATGGGCTCGGAACTAGGTGATTGTTTCAATAAATCTTGTAATTTTGTTGAACTGACAGAAGAGTTCATTTTGAATCCACAAAGAATTTGTTCAGTAACATCCTTCTAACCTGATAGATTGGCCACCTTGGAATGAATTGGCATGCCAGTAAACAAACACAATCTGATGCCTTTAAACTGAATTAACTTGTCAACTGTGAACACATTTATTTATTAACAGCTCAACCAACCAGATATACCACTCTGATAATGGAAAATATTGTTACTTTAGTGAATCCAAAGATCTTATCTTTTTGAACTTTATGGGCAGTTTTACATAGCATGCTCACTTTAGAACTCTTGATCCACTCTGCTAATAATCCCTTTCGTAGTGTTTATAAGGTTAATGATATGTATTTAGTATTCGTGAAATCAAGATGTCAGATTAAGTGCATATCAATTTCTTGTCATCTTTTTGCTATAAATTTAAAAGAAAATCTTATGCATACTTAAGTCTGTAAACATGATTGATTTGAGTTGGACTTTATCTTCCAGTTCTGCCAAGGTTTAACTTTCCAGTCTTATTGTCGCTTCTAAATCTAGACAGATTCTAATCAATAACAAACCTTTGAACTAATCCAAACTAATGAGATAGTAGAGTAGAAAATAATGTTGAATTATTAATTGTTGTTTCATTAGAATAATATCTGGTATTATACTTGATTAGTAAGAGTGATTGTGAAAACAAACAAAATATATAATATATTTCCATATCAGGTCCTCCTGATCACAGCTATTTTCCTATGAAACTTAAAGATAAGGATTAAGAAGAGAGATCATGTGCTTATGGAATGTCCAATTGAAGAACTGTAAAAGGGGGAATTTGTGAGAGTTTCAAAAATCAGGAATCAGAAAATCCTGTCTTCCAGGTCCAACAATGCATTGGTTTTGGCTGCTATCATAAAATTTAGATTTTTCCATTAAGGAAGAACTTTTTTATAACAACTTTGAATATTTATCAAAATATACCTGGCTCATACAGCACACTAAGATATATATATCAATTTTTATACCAACATTTAAGTCGTATTGATTGATATAAGTTTCTTATTGTTTATCAGTAATCACTTGAGTGCTGCTTCCAATTAAAGAGTCTCTGTAATGGAAAACATAGCAATTTTTAATCAAAATATATCAATTCCAGATTTCCAGGATTGACAGAGCTATATACTGCTTCTGTCTTGCCAATTAACTATGGTAGATCAGATTGTCTTCAATTATACTGGTCACTCCTACGGCTAATACTCTATTTCCATAGTAATCAATATCTATATCCATGGTATTTCAACCAGAAGACGTGGGATGACATCAAATTTATTAACGAACCTGCTGTTGACAAATATGGTATGGCAGATATTGATGAAATATAAACACAATAATATTAATTGTTTATAGATTTCACATATATATTTCTGGACATTTGATAAAATTGAAACAAAATAATACCGGTTTTGATTGCTGTTTCATTTTACATATTGCCTATTTCTAGACCAATTTCTATACTGTTCTATTTTGACTAATAAAGACAGATTATATTTATAGATTTGAAGAACTCGCTCAAAGCGAGACCACAGCTGACTATCTGTGGTCTCAAGTAGAATATAATTAATTGTATGAGACTGAAACTTGTCGCTGTGAAATCCTGAAAAAAGATTGAAAACATTTTAGGGGAAGTTCCAAAAACAATGAAACCATTTCAAGATGTTATTTCGCAAACACAGTAGAAATTTTAGATTTTTTCAAGCAGAAAAGAGATTCAAATATTTTATTTTCATTCCACAGAAAAAGAAAAAAAAATTGTAGAACTATTGTTTGATCTTAAATATGGCATCGAAACAAATAATAATTATCAGGTAACAAGTTAAAGGCAGACGTGGTTTATAAAGAGTATTGATTATATAAAATGTTACTGTGTAAGGAAATGAAATATCAGAGGTTACTTCTATTCAAGGGAATAATTAACATCTCATCTGAAGTCCTGTAATATAAGTTTATATATTCCTACAGTCTCTACTGTATAATCTTACTTAAAGTTATAGTCCCTGATGGAAGCGGAACTTGGAAATGATCCATTTCTGCTTAGTTGCTATTAAAATGGTATACAGCGATAACAAAATAATATTATACAAATTGAACACGGTAGTCAAAATATAAAAGACATAACCAAACATGTCCTTTGTGGCTTCAAGAGCATAGTTGGTAAATAACTGATCTTCCACCTAACAAGCAACCTTGTTGGCTCCATAATAAATACAAAAGTTTTCTTGAATGAAAAATGCTAAATATGAAATTAACTTCAATCACAATTTTAAGCTAAAAAAATAATTTTGTCTAGGGCATTAAATAAAGAAGAGCAATCAATTTCATATATCAGTTGGCTTAATTAACAAAAACTAATCACACAATTTGATCTATAGGACTCATAAAGACTTTTCGGAGAGATATTTTCCTTTCTCCTTTCGATCTCATTCTGTTATTAATGTGTCTATCTATCCAATTCTGGGATGATATAAGTCATAGAATAGAATATAATAATAACACAAAACAACAGGGAAGAAAGAGCAAAGAAACCTCTTATATGAATATACTACCCTAGAAAATTACATTGGTTTGGAATAGTGCTATCAGTAATCATCAAACAAATGTTAGCCAAATTGATCTTAGATTTTTATTCTTAGCCATTTAAAACATTTTTGATTGATTTTTGAATGACTGTACCATTATGTGCCTATATTTTCAGGTACACATTTTACCAAAAGATCTACAAGCACCATTGTTATTTGCCCTACCAGACAATACACGGTTTACTCTGATAGACTTCCCTCTTCATTTACCATTAGAATTACTAGGTGTTGATACATGTCTTAAAGTTCTTACTGCTGTTATGTTGGAACACAAGGTAAGGTTTTATCAAAGGAGTTGCTAATTGAGATTTAACGAGCAAATGCGTCTGTGTAATTTTATGAAAAGAGCTTCAGCATTGTGTTAATCAAGCAGATGTCTCTGTTGGGTTTTATGAAAAGAACTGCAGAATAAGATTGAACATTCAGTTTGTATTTGTATGAAAATACTCCTGTAAAGATACTGTATATGTGCAAGTATCATAATGTACTACTCCTTCTTACCCTCCAGTACATGTATATCTGGGAAAACCTTAGACTATGTGCAACCTGTAGATATATAATTAGTAATCTTTTATTTACTTTATGAAAAGAGGAGACAAAACTAATTAGAAAAGCTTTTTTTTACAGACGATGCGATATAATGATTAATGTCTTTTTTTGTCTTGCTCATAATAATGAATAGTTCTAAATATTGTGTGATATTTCAACTTTCAGGTTATTTTACAGTCTCGAGACTATAATGCGTTATCAATGAGTGTTATGGCGTTTGTTTATATGTTATATCCGTTAGAATACATGTTTCCTGTTATACCGTTATTACCTACGTGTATGTCCTCTGCTGAACAGGTATGCTATATCTATATGTTTATATAATCATATATACCCTGCTAAAAGATATGAATGTAATACTTCACAAGTCCATAAGCTGTTAATATAGAAAGCTTTCAAAGCATGAACACAAATATAAGATTTATGCAGTTCGACTTCAATTAGGATATATTCAGATGTTAATTTAGGTATTTTTAGAACTTAACAATAAGTGGCCGTGAACATTAACATATTTGAATAGTTACAATTGATCAGTTCCTCTTGCTGCTATGCTGTTAGTTTGCCTACTTTGATCATATGCATTATTAATTTTATATTAGAAAGTAAAGCTCTGTTTAAAAAATTAGCTGTCCTGATGAGAATTTGTACATTTGAAACACGTGTCAGCACCATGAGATGAGCTCTAATGAACTAGAATAAGTGCTTCAAAGCTAAAATTATTTAATTAAATAAGGCTTCACTTCATAACTGTCTACAACCTATGATCAAATTACCTTTTAACATGATAGAGTTATATAAGGATGACTTGACATGTCTTTCAAAACCAAAACTTCTAACCTAAATAAGATGAAAGATTGCCAGAAGAAATCTGTGTAAGACGGAAACTTCAATCAAATTTCGTCTGGCAGAACAAATAAGCTTTTAGTCTGTCAAAACCGATAGTAAAATATTAAACAGATCATGATAGAAGCCATTTCACAGATGACTGTAGGATGGCTTTGACAGAAGTGAATTATTATCTGCTTTTTGAATGGAATATTTTGAAAACCAGGTCAAGTTTTCTGAGAGATTGTCAAACAGTGCAGTATCACAGATGGCAGCAATTGCAACTGCTGTTAGTCTAAATTTTTACTGGATATTTGCCACATTCTCAGGGTCTTCTTTCATTTTCTGGTAAAATGTCAGAATGCAAGATGGTAAAATCTCTGATGCATCAATAAATTTCGAAAGCTCTTTCATACTTGATGAGGTATTACATCTGATCACCAATAGCATTATATTTGATAATTTTTGCCAACATGATGTATGTTATTTTTTTCAGCTGTTATCAGCACCCACACCATATTTAATTGGAGTACCAGCCAGCTTCTTTCTGTATAAAAAGGGTTTTCTTTTACCAGAAGATATTTGGATTGTTGACCTTGATTCAAATAAAGTAAGTATTCAATCAAGTTTTGGTGCCCTTAATACTTTATATGTGATTATTTCCATGTAGGAAAGACTATTTTCAGAGGTGTATCTAGAAAATGCTTTAATGACAGGCCAAAAATGAGAGTTTATTTTCACTTCAAAATAAAACCTTTATTGAAAAGTTTGACATTGATTTCAATAAGGGATTAATCCATGTATAATGAAATTCATTTGGTTATCATTTTTTTTATATTTCAAACTTTGTTACTGTTTTTAAGGTTCTCATATTGTTCATTGTGTTGAATGAACCATGATTGATATTAAATCTGAATATTTTATAGATTCACCCTCCTAGTAAAGCTGAACCCTTGCCAAGTTTACCAGATCCTGAAGGGGCTGTATTAAAAACTCATCTAAAACAGGTACTTACAATTTTAATTTATTATCTATAAATTATTTCTTCAGTTTATTTCTCTTTCATGAAGTTATTGATATTCAAACTGTCAAATTTAATTTGAATTTTCCTTGTTCCATTTTCTGATGAGCATTAGAAATATTTCCTTTAACATTTCTCAAAATATGAATGAAAAATATGAGCTGAAAGTGGTTCATAATTAGTGTCAATTATCAGTCAATTTTTGAGGTAATTATTTCCAAATATATCACAAAATTATCATATTCATTGGATATTATTGCAATAGGAATATATATACAGACTGAGAATGAATTTTTGCTAATCTTATGATATCATTACTGAAAATTTCAAATTTGTGAATAAAATAAGAAAGATTGTCCATTGGTTAGAGGCCTTATGTTTAATTTGAACACAGATAGATTGGTTAATAATTGTAATAAGTATTTTGGTAAAACCTGAGTGTTATTAGTATTGATTGACAATAATACTGTTTCAAAAAAGATCTTAAATGCAGAATTTTATATTGAAAAATACCATACATACTTATGACAAAATAGATCATAAGATTATTAGTGAAACTGGACCTGTGTATTTGTCTGTCTTGTACCTTAGCATTGATAAATTTGAACAAACAAGAAACATACATGCCAATGGCGTGTTAATATATTCATAAACATGTTAACATATTATTTTTATGTTTGTAGATCATTACTAGAATAGTAATTGATTATTAATTAATTAAATTGACTAATTGACATCATTCAGCCATTAGTCAGTCAATCAATATGTCAATACCATCAGGCTATTGATTGGATATTTTCTATGTCAAACAGGTCATTAAGTCAATTTAGATATCGGGTTTGACTATTTTCTATGTCAAACAGGTCATTTGTTCAATTTAGATATCAGGTTCACTCATCTTGACATTGACAAAAATATCTAACAAAGCTAATTTGGATTGACGAAGTTAGTAAACGGCACTGTGCAATGGCTAGTTTTGCTGTAAATCTTCGTTAAATGTGCATTTGCACAGCCAATATGCTGTAATATGACTGGACTGAATGGCTGATTGTTTAAAAATTGCCATGTTGGCTAAGCTTTTCTACTAACCTTTGAATATAATCTTTTACTAACTGATTAATTGGTGAGTGGTTAGATTAAACAACTTATTACACCATATTTAATCAAATTTTATTCTGATAATTCTAATCAGTAGGTTTATGATATTAGGCAACACTAAAAATATTAAAAATAATCATAGCTTTCATAGCTGTATTCATATTTTACCTTAAATCTCTGTAGAAATGATACCCATTCTTATGCTCTCAGTCATGCCTTTAAAGTCTAGCTTATATCAGATTTAACTAATTTAATCATTAAGCTCCTTAAATTCCTTAATAAAAAATAGTTGATAGCAATTTATTTTAATAGTGGTATTAGCCTTTACAAAATTCTAATGCTCTTAACTCTATTTCTATACATTCTTGCTTGCCTTATTTCTTAACTTAAAACATCTTGAAACATTCATACAATGACACAATATCACAATAACGTTTGGAAGAAAGTAAAGTTGATAGCATGTCACTTTAAAAGATGGTAACACATCTTACACCCTTAACTTTGCCTTTAAGATTTTAAATTAGTTTTCTATTGAATTCTGTTATATTTGCAGTGGAATGTATATTATGTGATATAGAGCATGATTTAATAATTATAAAGGATTAATTTACTAGTCAATACTGAGGCATTGATATTTCTACAGTGTCTAAATACACCTTCTAACCACAGAATAATGTCATTGTACCAGACACAATTGCTTGTTAGTTAATACAATATTTCATATGTGAAGCTCAAAAACAGACTGTGTTGTAATTGCATAACATTTAAGTAATATTTGATATTCGTTTCGAATTCCTATTATATATAGTGCATACAAATTATCATTTCCTAACTTTTCAAACCCTTGATGCCATTCTGCAACTGCATTTGTCAACTCTCTTTAACTCTCTTTTTATTTATTAGCTTAAAATGTTTAATTTGCAGTTTTATTAGATCTTCATTAAACTCATTATGTATTCCATATTGAATAAATTTTAAATATATTTCATCAGCCTCATACTGTGATATGCTAAAATTGCTTAACCTGATTTTCACACTCAAATAACTTTAATTAAGGGCGTTGCCTGGGCTAGCGTTCGAGAAAAAAATCATGTCATGAACGGGCCTGTTGCTCTGTTGTATTCACAAATATAAAGAAAAAATGCGCTTGTGAAAGTTTTTCAAACCTGCATCTTTTGGTACCCTGAGAGATAGCGATTTAGTAAAAGTTGTTTATAGAAGCGCAAAGACATTCCCAATCAATTTACGTCTTTGCACATGGCAAGACTCTGAACAAGGGATTTGGACTTGAACAAAAGCATAGTAATTTCCTTCATTGGGACACAGTTTTTAATGAACTGGGTTAGTGTAGCTGTAGAAACCAATAATAAACCAAACAAAATGCCACAGAATGGTATACTGAATCAAAATACTAAAAAAATATATCTCAAGCAGTATTTGTCAATAAAGGGAATTCCCTGAGGTCATGTGACGCTGTGTTTATGGTCGGATAATAATAAAACGTGACAGTGACATCTGTAGATGATTGCACTGTCGCTCTTCACAACGGTTAATTAATTAATTACTTTCCTGTTCAGAATGCAGAGAATTATTATTACTTCATATGTAAGCAATATAGAAAAAAATAAACACAATCGATCTGGTTATTTTTCGCTGAAGTTCAATTGAGTACAAAAATCTGCCCTGGATGACATACGATGATTTAGCCGTTTATTATGTGAAGTAGAGAATCTTGGTCTTATTAGAAAGCTTATTCCATAAGGAAGAGGATAATGTTAATGTTTTTAGAAAATTCCCATTAGTGTTGTTCCTTGACAATTTTTTCCTTTTTCGCTTAAATTTTTTACATTTCCATGGTTACCAACAAAATGAATTAACAAAAATGATAAAAACAAAACATTAGATTCTTCGCATTATAATTGTCTTCTGAGATTTATACATTCATCTTTTTTTAAACTTATGTTGAAGGTTTGAAATGTCCAATTTTCATGACTTGTTTGAAGGGCTGTCAAGGGAAGGACCTGAAATCTTCATAAAACGCGCAAGAAATCAGTTTTTCATATAATGATTCCATGAAATAGTCCAGTCAACGCCCTTAAGACTTTTATAAATGGGTTTAGATTACTTAATGGATGCATCATTTCACAGTTCAAACTTTCCATGAAATATAAATTTATCACATAAGTCAATTACACCTATCTTAAAAATATAAGTCAAAGCTGGTGTTTTTGAAAACCTTTTGCATCCCCTTCCTCACTCTTTCCCAGAATAGACAACTGCTTGGCTAAATTTGTTAAATTTAAACTGGTTTTAGACATATCTTTGAACTACCCTGGCTTTGGCTCACTATAATGATATCTTAGCAGGTGACAAATCTTTCGGCAATTTCCATTTCTATAATAAGATGAATATCTAAGCTGGTGATAAATGAATTAATTCATGAAATGTTTATGATAACTATGTAATGATATAAATTATAATAGTAATTGATAGGATACAGAAGGTTGCTATGGTTACAAGGTCAGATGAGGTCAAATCAATAATAATAGATTTTCGTCTAAAAGAAATAACTATAAATTTTAATGAATATAATTCTATCAATTCTTATGGCTTTTAGCACAAACAGAAAACATTATTAAATCAGAGCTCTGAAAGAATTATAAAAGAAACGGCCAATAAAAATTATCGAATTCCTGGAAATGATTAAAAAAGAGAAAACAGGTTTGAAATATGGTTATTTCCAGAAATAACGAAGCATTGTAGTTAAACAATAAAAACTAAAACCAAACTGAAATAATTTATTGTTTTATTCCTTTCACAAGTTCTTTTGTTTTTATCTCACAAACAATTGACAATAATGAGAACTAATTGGTTTTAGCATTTATGTTCTGTCATTTTTTGTAAAAATAATGGTGCACCATAACCTAAATGACCTAACAAATCTCTAATTTTTTACTGGTCATATATTACTTAAAATTTTAGTTTTGAATATTTTCCACTTTTATACATTTTTCAATCAATTCTGTTCTGATGCAAGATAAATTGACTATGACTTGATGATTTTTTGAGAGAAATTACTTAGAGATGTTTGTTTATACAATAATTATTTTCTTTATGTTATGTTACTTTATTCATGGTTGATGGCAAAGAAACATGGGAGTTTTATATAAAACCTAGAACTCTATATTGTTTTGAGTAACATGGCAGGGTACTTAATATTCTTTTGAAACACCTGATTTCACTTTTGATTAGAAAATGAAGAGAACTGATCATGTTTATTTCGGAATTTCATTTGGTTTTAATGGATATGATTTCAGTGTGGTTGAAATGATAAAGAAAATAGGGGATATCCTTGGTTTTATAGCACTTTCTTTATTTCTCTTCTGTTTCTTATTATACGTTTGGTGACTGGGATTTTTAGAGCATTAACCCTAGCTAACCAATTAACTTACAGGCATTAGCCAGCATGAGCATGACTCCACAGCCTATTAAAAATCTTGATGCCTTGGCTCAGAATGCTGAGATATGGCAACGAAGAGAAAGTTTTTCTTCTCAGACTGGCTTCAACCCGTTGATTTATGGTAATGATGTTGATTCAGTGGATGTAGCAACCAGAGTAGCCATGGTGAGTTCTTTTCGCTTTTTTTGTCTGATTCCAAAACACTTACAGGAACTATCATCATAATTAGTCAAGAATACCATCAGATCAACCAACCAGTCTTGATAACATTCCCTTTTTCAAAATCTCATTGTGGATCTTAATGTTAACACCCATGTCTGTCATGCTTCCATTTACTTGAACATGTTTAAAATATATATCTGCAGTATATATACAGAGTTAAACAGATTCTCATGAAACTTGAAAGAGTTCCTAATGATTTGTAAGTTATTGCACAGACATGGCCAGTTAGAATTTCAATTTTATCAGAAATGTGTCAGACAGATATTTTCAAATGGACTTGTATTCAATTATTGCACAGACATGGCCAGTTAGAATTTCAATTTTATCAGAAATGTGTTAGACAGATATTTTCAAATGAACTTGTATTCAATTATTGTCATAAATGTCACATTTCTATGGGTTGTAATAATTTGTTGTCTGTATAGCAGGACATAGTGGGAGTTTAATGGATTGAAATTACGCTATTCAGACTTATTATTCTATATATAGAACACTAGATGTAGCATTTATATCTAATTAACAATTCTATAGATATGTTACAATTTTCAAGTAATTATGTTATTTTTGGAGTAGTTGCATTATTCATAAGGAAATTGCCTCCCTGATGATTGCCATCCTTAATTGCTTTCCTAACAATTTCAAATTGTGTAATTAAATGTTTATTTTATTGTTCCATGTGAGAAATTTCATTGTTTATTTATTCATCCATTAAGAGAACCACCGTAGATATTTGATGGTAATAAAAAGTTTATTGATTTGAAATCTGTTGAATAAGTGGAATTTATACAGTCCTTATTGTATTGTTAAATTGTGGTGAAATATTTCAATAATTTATTGTATGGAATTTAAGTAAACTTAATGAAATCTGCAAGTTTGCATAAAATCACACAATTCAAGAAAATTTGATTGAAATTTAAGTTCAGAGAGTGGCTCTTTGTCAATTTTTTTTTCCAAACTACATGAAAATACCCAAGTCTACTTAATCTGACATCAAATCAGTTAAAATTTGAAATTATTGCAGATTTCCAATCAAGTACGAATTAATTGATTCTCATTCTAATTTTAACTGAACAATTTCATATACCGGTATTTCTTTTTCAGATTCGATTTTTCAACTCAAGCAATATCTTAGGGAATTTCTGTGAACATACGCGCACATTACGTTTGTATCCCCGACCAGTAGTGGCCTTTCAGTTGTACAGTTTTCTTAAATCTCGTCAAGTTAGAACACATTTTTCAGTTCGTCTTGCCAGAACACAGGTTAGTGTCTTAAAAACAATTTAATCAATATTTACTTGCGCACAACACAAATACATAGACTTTCAAACTCCCTAGATCTCCAGTACAGATTCTTTTGATTGGAATTTCTAAGGAAATGACTCTGTGAAAATATTATAAGCTTATCATAAAACTGACCTATCTGTGCAGGCACAACATGAACCTTAGTTGAGTCTTATTTCTAAAGCTAGTTGGAAAGTACAACAAAATAAGAAGCATTTGAGGAAAAAAAACTGAGTTGATCATAAATTTTTTAATTCAGGCTGTTGAATACTATGCAGAATGGTCATTAAGTCCTCAGAATTTAGTGTATTTACGAGTGCATACAGGAGTATATGACCCCTCACTAATCGGTGATAAACCAAAATGGTATGCTCATCAACTACAGTCAGTAGAATTCCATGTTTATGACCCAAATTCTAGTCTTAGTGCAGCATTAAATTCTGTCTCTGATGTCTTGAGTGATGAAATACCAACAGGTAGGTTTTTTTGTCCTATTTATTACTGCCAATTTTATCATTTATTTGCCAGAATCCACTTGTCAAATCCAGCATTTCTGATAAACATTAGACTAGCTTTTCATAAGTATGACATGACATTTTTGTGTACAAATATGCAGATAAACGTTAGATCATACCCACAAGTTGATAATCTAGTAAAAATCTTCATCTACCATCTTTCATTTTTAAGAGGAATACTGGTGAAGTCCAGTGAAATATAGGAATCACTTGTGAACTTTGAAATGTATTTGATTTTGATGATTTTGTAGATGAGAGTGGAAGTGATAGTGAGGGAGCTGAAAGTACTAGTTCATCTTATTCATCATTAAGTGATTTTGTAACTGATATGGTTAATAGTGAAATAGATGGCGAAACACCAGGTAATATTTGCTTGTTTTGATTTTTTCCAATTTGATCACAGTATTTGACTGGTCATGTGCATGAATAATTGATAACTTTGCTATTGAGTTGATATGGATTAAGGTTAATAGCTATTAAAATAACCAACCGTTGAAATAATATCTACTTGCTTGATTAAATTAACGATTATGGATAAAGCTGACTGGTTTGATTAATAATGCATGACCTTTAATACACTAACTTTAATTTCATGAACTTCATCAAACATTCAGAAGAAATTTATAGAAGGTTTTTTTTTAATAATCTTGCATGATTAGTTAAATAATAAATTATCTACTTGCATAATGCATGGTCTAACCTTCTATCCTTATACACTTATAGCTGCCTTTATACCAGAAAATCAGATCTTGGCTGTAGATGAATCGAAAGTTTTTACACCACCTGATAAACTGCATGTACCTGATGTTAATGCTACTAACAGTGACTCAGCTCTATCACTTCCTGAAGATAGTGATGTGAGTTCTTCAGCATCTTCCAGTCCAACTTATAGTGATAACATTCCACGATCAGAGAGAGAGGACAAGGATTTAGAGGTACAAAGAAAACATCTTTAAAAGTCAAGCTGTTCTCTTCTATGAGAATAAGTGTTTATTTTAGCAATTGAATCCTATTAGCTTGTGCCTATCAAAGATGAATACATCAGCTATTGTTCACATGTATTGTTTTCAATTCTGGAATAGAATCAATGAGACAATGGTTGGGATTTCCTTAATTTTTGTAATCTGAAATCCAATGGAATAAAAATATGTCTGTCTATTGAGAGAGTCATAGTACTCAATCTTGAATTCAACATCTACCACCAGTATTACTAGTTACAGCTCTGTGTCAGTAATACCAGATGAGATAATCAAAGGATATAAAAATTCTGTTGGGTGCAGTTCTGTACACCTCAAAGTCTCTGAATGGTTACAGGAATACTGAAATTTAATTTTGTTATTTTACAGGAGGATGCTGATGGTCATATATTTCGCTATGATTCTGGTAATGTTACTGCCACATCTGTTACTCCTAGTCGGTAAGTTTATCAAGTCTTTTCTTTTGTAAACTGAGAAATTTGGAAAAGATCAATGCCAAAAGGTAATGCCAAGGTCCAGCTTGTAGAAAGGATCCCTGTGAACTTCAATTATTCTCCTTGTAAAGAATGGTTGTTTGTTTCATTCTTTTTAATGTGCCCAATTCAACTGCCTGTTGATGTAGAATTGTTAACTGAAAACTCTTGATTGTATTTCAGAGTGGATTCACTGTTATTATCATCAGAATACAGTATTTTGATTATATGTTTGGTATCCTTACGTTTATTTTCTCCCAGTGATTTCTGTTTCTGCATTGGATAGAAATTCTACTAAAATTTTATGATTTTGTTCTCACATTTATTAATTTAGAAATGAAAATTTTACTGTGGATAGTCCAGGACCTTCAGAAGCTCCAAGGAGTCCTAAATTACCTTCCTTTACAAAGAGTACCAATTCTGCATTTGATGTTTATGAGAAACCAAAACCATTATTAGCATTGATTCCACCCAATCCAAACATGATGAGAGCTCAACGAGGCAGTGTGTCCAGTAGTTCCAGTACTTCAACAACTAAAGGAAATCTTCGTGTTCCAGTAAGTTGAAAATGATTGAATTATTGTTGTAAAATTATTTTCAAATCATTCACATGGCTGTTGATTGTGCATTTGATGGATTAAACATGTTCTTGTTACTGCCTTTCTACAAAAATCTTTAAATCCCTAAAGGTAATGGAACTTATATCTGAGATTATAAGGATTTTCTTCTTTAATCTCAATGCCTGAGAGATCAATTTAAAATGTTGCTTCCTTTGAGAAAATGAACAATTTGAAGGAACAGTCCTGATTGTAAACGGTTTAAGACAATTCCAGATCATGATTCTTGGTTAACTACTGGTTATAAGATATAATATTCCTGGTTAAATTCTGTTCAGTGATTAAATGATTTTTTTATTGTAGAATATCAGTGACCATGAGTCAGACAGGTCCTCTTCACCATCATCAATAATATCAACTATTAGTAATGAATTAACAGATATGGCTCAATCAGCTACTCATACCATGTCTGAACTATTTGGTAAGTATTATATATTTACTGTTATTCAAGACAGGGAACCTTAGTGTTCTAGACACCTGATACTACTATTCATGATTATGAAATACTCCAAATTTATGATTCCTCATATGAAAGGTTCATATGCTTCTACCAATGTATTTACAAACTCTGATTTTAGATTTCTTGTTTCGTTTCCCAGTTTGGATTGTTACTTCTTGTTGTTTAATTTGATTATTTAGATATGAGTATTTATGTCCAAGAAGTTCATTTTGCCATACGAAAGCGAAAAGGGTTAATGTGACTGGGATGTTTAGCATTGCTTCCCATTATATATCTCTACCATACAAAGATTCCCTTATGTAATTTAATGTCATTATGATGTTATATTTATTTGTAGGAAATAAACAGAATAGTGGTAACAGTGGTAACAATTCAAATAAACCTCAATCTAAACCATTTACTCCTTTAGGTAAGCTTATATACTTCTTGATTTACCAATTACTTCACATTTATGTTACGGAGTTTGACATACACATTTAAGATCTTCTTATTGATCAAAATATTCAGCTTTTATGCCAAAGTTTTTAGATGGATAATGACTTAAATTGAATTATTTTGTATCTTAGGAAATCGCAAGGCGTCAGTAGAGAAATCAGGTTTAGTCAAACAGTCGTCAATAGGAAAGAAACCAAAAGAACCATCTCCTAAACCATCACCAACTGATTCCAGAAGTTCTTCTAATAGGTAACTACTTTATATACAGAGGTGTAACCTATTTTCGTGGATATAAGAATTCAACACCGAATTTCGTCAAAGTTATAAAAACGGAAAAAAAAAATTATGTCTTAGATGTTTCCTCAGATATTCTACAAAATAATTAAAATTGGTTTATTTCGATTTTCTTTATGAATCCTTCACTTTGACCCATATTTCATGAGCAACCAACTCGGCAAAGGCGGCAGAATGCGTCACCTATTTTCGTGTACAATGTTTGATCTATAAATAACTCTAGAAAAACACGTTGTATGGATACCGGGTGGTATAATTAACTTCTCTTAGTATTTATCTTTAATATCAATTTATTATAACTAGTGACAATTCCTTCAAAGAACCACGATTTAAAAAAAAAAAATAGTGACTGACAAAATATGATACGTAGCGTGATTTATTGCTAAAAGTCACTGAAACAATATAAGAATATGGTCCACTTTGTGTTCCATAGAAATTTTCTGCTGACACGGAATCCGCTAGTTGATCACGTGACTTCATTCGTTGGAATATATTCTAGCAGACGACACTTGGAATTCCGATTACTGCTTGGGATTATAAGGAAATTCCGCCAATGAAAAATGGTGACGTTTGGTAATAAGTGAAATCCGCCATTTTGTATTTGTCAAAGTATACATTAATACATTTTACCTTGCTTGAAACTACTGGATTCATTCGACTAGCTGACATTGTACAGAAAACCCATGTTTATCAAAACAAACTAATGCGGAGGTCGCGCAAGGTCGCTCATGTAAATTATTAATCCTTTCCGGAAATCCACGAATAATAGGTTTCCACGAAATTAGGTTACTTGACTGTACCTTCATTAACCCATTATGATGCAGAAATGAGAAGTTCTATACTGTCTTCCAAATCCTTAAAAAGATGGTCTCTTGTCAATTGATATTCACCATAGCTGTTCATTTATGATATAATAGACAAAATTTCTATCATATTTAAATTATCCTTTTCAACATTTGGTGTAGAGATAACATTGACTAATGGAAACAAGCTCCTGAGTTTTATGATACTCAACGTTGTAATAATTCACATTATCATTATCAGTAGTGTATCAGTAGTATATCAGTAGTATACCATAAAATTATGTTTCGTATTGCAGTGAAAACCAGCAATTCCTAAAGGATGTAGTGAATAATGTAATGGAAGGACAAGGTACAAGTTGGTTAAAGATGGGACGTGTTAAAACCTTAATGGAGGATGAAAACTATCGTAACTTTGTTGTTAGTAGATTAAATAAAAATTTAGATAAAAAAGTCACTGATGAATCTCTTCATATTGATGATGTGGTAAGTTGATTTAATAATTTTCACGATTTCACGATTCTGAATATCCAGTTATTATAAACAGCGACTAATATCTTGACTGTAATTGCCAACATTTCTTGTACTACGGAAGATTGTATTGTACTCTAGAGAACACAGCTAATCAGAGCCTTCAAAAGACTGTAAATAATTTTGTTCAATTGGGGGCTATGATTGACTGTGTTCGCCAGCATAACATCTAATCAAATCTCTGCATTGTACATGACTACTACTCTTTTTCCATCCTTTGCTACAAGTTGATGCCTTTTTTGTGGTTATTTTGAAACATGATGTACAGGAAAAGAAAAATTAGTGGTTGAGTGTTTCCTAATCTTTAGTAACCAGTCGTTGATATTTTTCAGTGTGTTTCTCGTCAAGTATTTAAAGGAATGTTAGCCATGTTAAAAGCTATCATTCATGGTTTAGAAAAAACATTCCAGAATCACGGTTTAGGTGGCACTGCCAGTGCTTATATGGTATTAGAAATAGCACATACACATTATTGGTATAGAGAACCTGCACTGTATAAAAGCGAATCAAGCTTAACACCTGATGTAAGTGGAAAACCTGATCATAAAAAATATTTTAACTTAAGTTGTTATCTCAATTCGCCCACCAGAAAAGTAGGACGTAAAACTCCATTCATTTCATTTTTTCAATTCGCCTGCTTTTAACGGTAATAATTCCACATTTGAAATATGTTAAAAATAGTTTATGCTTATAATTTGGTCCGCTGATAAGGAAAACTATTGATTTATGTGTAATTAACTGAAAAAAAAAAACCAGTATTGTCCATTTTGAATGTATTCAACTTAATTTACCTCTATAATTACGTTAGATACTAATAACTTTCTACATCAAAAAGATTTCAGTCAAAATTGCCTAAACATGATTGTTTCATACTTTTTTTTTAGGTTCCACCATTCCATGGAAGTCATGATAGCTTAACATCACGAGATGAATATTGTCAATCCATGATATCAGATGCTAAAAGTTTACACGATGATAATTATATAACAGGTACTACTTTCATATACACCACATATCACTACGCTTATTGTATATCCTTGCTTTTATCACCGCTTTATATTTCAGTTGGATACTTTGGTTCATTTATTTAATAACTAGTTACCCAAACTTTAGTTACTTTTTCATATATTTTTACAATTTCGCATGTTTTAAGAATTTTCAATCTAGACATTTTTCTTGCAGTAACTTTTAAATTTTGTGAATTTTAAGAAATTGTATGTGAAAAAAAATTTGTCATCCTTTTATGTTGTTTTTATGTTATCCTCGTAGATGAAAATTATTTTTGATCGATATTGCAGATAAAACATGACCTATCTAGTAGTACCAATTTTTCATTCGATGATCATATTTATGACATTGTTACTATAGGATCAAAACAGAGTGATTGGCCCTTAGGACGAGAGAGGCCGTCACCGCCAGGCGCCCCCAGCAACGAGCCGTTACATGAATTATCTACCCCTAGTCCAAGTACGGAATCAGGCAAGTAATAATGTGCTATAGTCATTGCTAGTTAGAGTACTGAATAGACCTCACTAATTATATAGCTGTCCAACATTCTCTACCTAATATTACTAATGTATATGTCCAGTTGACATCACTACAGTTTTATATCAGGTTTCATATACCAATATATCACTCATTGTCTAGAATTATATACTTAACATTATAATGAATATATTAGTACTTAGTATTTTACTGACAATTCTCAATAATTTTCTTCTAAATCTACTATTTTTATTAAGAGTGCCTAGACTACTTTTAACTTTAAAATTTTACATAAATTCAGGTAATTCTAAGCACATTATTGAAAAATTCTATGGTTAATTGATTTTTTGGTTCTCAACATTGCAAAAATGATTTTGAAATTTGTTAAAATCATTACATTTGATAGACTGGTTTAAGGACAGTGCAGTGCTTGTAACTATAGAGTAATATATATTGGTGTATGAAATATGTGATACTGATTGTTGTATGTATATCATTACTGTTTTACTGTAGATTCCTTTAGATTAATTACTAATAATCATTAACAACTTAACGACAGAACGTACCAATGTGGACAATGAGTTAATCGAACAAAAACTTTGACATAGTACTTTATCAAATTTCTTTGTTGATCAAATTAATCTATCTTTGAGTTTTTTACAACGCCTCAAGTGAAAATATCTGACATAAAGGGTTTCTTTTAAGATATGAATATAGTAAAAATACAAATTTCTGACACTGAGAATGATATTTTGCTCTCAGACAACTGTCTATGAAGCCACCTGTTGCTTGATAAGGTGCAACACATTTAATAGTTTTTGTTTGATTAACTAACTTGTGCCTGATAACTGTTATTAAATAACATAAACAAATGAATTCAAATGTTATTTCATCCAAAGTACCCTATATTGACCCACATCTCATGTCATCTACACATGTTTTCGATGTCAGTGACAAGGAGTTTAAGCAGAAAGCATAATTTGCTAAAGGAAAATAACTCTGTTCCATTTATTCTTCAAAGACATCTTCATTATTAGAATGGTAAAGCAATTTGTCATGTCATAGTTTAATAATTGGAGCTTAACTCACATTAGAATGTGAAAGGCAACTGTAATCTATTTCACTAAGGATTTCACCATAATTCAGAGAATTTGATATAATGTTATTTGGAATGGGAATGAAAAAGTGGCATCGAATTTCATCACAATAATCTGCATGCCAATTTTCTTAGGCTCTACTTCCTGCTTGACATGATGTCATTTATTTATTTGTCAAAAGCAGGCTTTGGAAATTGAAGATAAGATATAGTTTTAGAATTTGATTATTTATGACAAAGGTTCAATGCCATGTTCACATATTTATATGTATTTAAATGTTTTTTCTACATTTTTGCGTTTTTTCTTCTTTTTTTCAACCTTCTTCTGCTGCATGTATTATTTGGAATTTTAGAACGATATCTCCCTGAAGGGTTCGGTGGGTATTTTGTATGTAATCACCTTTTGTAGATAGTAGACTTGTTGAAAAGAAAGACACATTACTCCTTTTTCAACTTATATTCATTACTTAATAGCCTATAGGATGTCAGAATATTTCATTTCAATTCATTTAAATCATCTTGGCAATAGTTTTCTATTAAAACATTCAGATTATTTGGCTTTTAAGCCATGAGGCCAAACGAAGATGGTAACAAATATGGTCAAATTCATATATGTTTACTGGAGATTACTTCTTCAATGAATTATCTGGTTTAATGTGGCTTTAAAAAGCTGTATTGTAATCACAAATTGTATACTTTTTACAATGGCAGTATTTTTGTGAGTTAGATTGTTGTCTGCTGAACATTTAGGTGCTGTAGGTTTAAATCCTCCTAGAGATTGGAAGTTTCACAACAACAACTGCAGCCTTGTGGACATAGCCAATGAAGCAGACTAGTTATGTTCAAAATTGTGGCCATTGTGGACTGCAAATACATACTTTAACTAACTCAATGGTTACGTGAAGAATGATCATGAATAATATTTGATGCAGGTGCTATTTGAAGCTGAACCTGGTTGCATTGTATAAAAATATGCAATTGTTTCAGTACTTTTTTGGAAGACAATAACATTGAAATGATATGAATGCTTACAGAAGTGACAATTTTATGGGTAGTGATCACTTAATGGTACAATTTTATGGTATACTACTCCAGAGTTTTAATCGCAATCAGTTTACATTGTCACAGTCAGATCATTTTCACTGCTAATGTTAATGTAAATTGTTGAAACGTTGATAGCGATCAAATTTAGATGTAGTATACCATAAAATCATTCCTTTATTTGATAAAGATAGTGTGTTTTATATCAATCAGTTTTAATGAAGGGTAGAAAATTTTTATGAAAATTGATTTTGTAGGATCTCCAGTAATAGTGAATGGTGACGAATACGAGAATATTGAAATACATCCAGACGTAAATCTGAATATGAGATCATTAGACAATGTTCAAGGATCACGACAAGACCAAAATCGCAATGTACATAAGCATTCATGTGATATAATAGTGACAGATCATGACATTCCCAGTGCCAATACGCGGTCAGGAGATATGTTACATGAAATGGTCAAGAATAAAGAACTGATAAAGGCTAGTCGATTAGATAAGATTAGTAGTGTAGATTCAGAGATGTCTGATGCCAGTACCCTAGTCAGTACCTGTTCTGATGATGAGAGGAAGAAATCCAGGATTAACCATCATTCTATTAAAAGTTCTATGTCTGATAGTGAAGCAGATCCTAGTGGGGTAAGTTATTTTTTTGATGAACTCTTCATTTTACATAGTTTGGAGTTATATGTTGGTGTATTTCATTGAAGCACTATTATGGCTTGTCAAAAATGAGGTCCACGCACGGGTGAACATCACAAAGCAAGAAAATGCCAATAACAGAGTTCATGATCATTAGACCCCTTTAAATCTTCAGTAGAAGTCTGGTATATTCAGAGATGAAATTAAAAGTGAGAATTACTTTAAGCTGAAAGCCAAATAATATTTTAGAATTTAAAGGAATATATAATTTTTTTGAATAAGTACATAAAACCATAAATACATGCATAAAACATTCATGACCATCATCCAAAGTTTATACCGTTATTGATATTTATATTCATACCATTATTGATATTTATTACTGATATTTTTACCATTATTGATATTTATTACTGATATTTTTACCATTATTGATATTTATTATTTATATTTATACCATTATTGATATTATATTAATACCATTATTGATATTTATACCATTATTGATATACCATTATTGATATTTATTATTGATAGGTATACCATTATTGATATTTATTATTGATATTTATACCATTATTGATATTTATACCATTATTGATATTATATTAATACCATTATTGATATTATATTGATACCATTATTGATATTTATACAATTATTGATATTTATACTATTTTTGATATTTATACCATTATTGATATTTATTATTGATATGTATACCATTATTGATATTTATATTCATATCATTATTGATATTTATTATTGATATTTATACCACTATTGATATTTATTATTGATATTTATACCACTATTGATATTTATTATTGATATTTATACCACTATTGATATTTACACCATTATTTATATTACAGCAATTAGTAAAACATAATAAACGTAACAGATCACCTAGTTTATGGAGTAATAAAAGTAGTGCTAGTACAGGATATAGATATAGAGAGAGTAAACTAATCAGTACTTCTACCACAACTAATACTGAAACTGGCAGAACTTTTCTTTTTGAAGGTTTATTAGGTATGTAAAGAAATAGATCTGAACCATATAATTCCCGTCTTACCTTCAAAACAGGATCATTTTTTAAATTTAGATTTTTGAATCCACAACTGCAATAACAGTTGTAGGTCTAACAAGACAGGGAACAATACACGTTCTTAAACATGAAATGTAACTCTGTGTGCTTGCATTTGTTTGATAAATGGTAAAGGACAACTAAAGGAGGAGCTGTGGCAGTTTGTTAGAGCATTGCAATCTTTATTTGAAGTCAAGTCAAACAATGGTTGTTGTGGATTCAAATCTGTGGTAGTGAAAGGTTAGACATTTTCATTTCAGGAAAGGAAAGAAGCAGGTTGTGGGATCAAATGCAGTTTTGGGAAGATGTATTTTTAGATGCTGTAGCTCAGGAAAGAGACATTATTGGAATGGATCAAAGTCCTTCAGAAATGATGGATAGGTAAATAATTTCTCTTTCTCGAAGTTTTTGCAGATCATTCTCTATGGTCTGAAATCACCTAATTGATTTTGCAATAACAAGTGATTTATCTAATAGAAAAAACTCACCTCATACTGCGGCAAGTTATATATATTTTCTCTTCATAACAACCAGCATTGAAATAGGATTTTTATATTGGACTTTTGATGTATGAGCAAAGCACAATCACTCAAGTTGTATTCAGTTTGTAATGGTTGCTGATGTTGGACTTCTGGTGGTTTGCAAAATGATGGCATAACATTGGTATAAAGAAGCAAATATAAATGGACTCTATTGCATCAGCTTTATTCAGTATGCTGATATACAGATTCAAAAACCTTTTGCTTCTGGTTATGAACTGAACAGTAAGCTATGAGTGGGATGTAAGTTAATTTTCATTCGAATTCTCTATTTTTCAATGGTTTTTTTTTTTCAGGTATGCTTCACTTGGTGATATGGAGAGAAAACGACTTGAACATGATGAAGATAAAATATTAGCTACTATATTGTTTAATTTAGTTAGTTTTATGGTGATGTTACGTGTTAATAAAACAGAAATTAAGAAGAAGAGTCGTAGATTGTTGGGAAAATCTCATATTGGTTTGATACATAGTCAAGAAGTTAATAATCTACTGGACCAAATCACTATGCTGGTGAGTGAATATTAAAAAATCATTTTATAAATACCAAGGATACTAAGGATATAGATATTCTATTCTTGAAATGTAAAGAAAATTTGCGATAATCATTGTGGCAATGATAACCAAATTCAATTATTTTTGAAAAGGCTTCAGGTCCTGTACCAAGGTACTTGTGGCCAATGCATATTTCTTCTAACTTGAGTAGAATTATGTCACTGAATATCTAAAATATAATCCATACATTACTTGATCTTAGTCACTTACGCCCTGTTTATACGGCCAAATGTTACTCACATAAGCATATTTACTCCTATTATAATTGCTTATAAGTAAATATACTTTTGCACAACCTCTTGAGGTGAAGTAAAATACTCCTGGAGTAAATTTGCTTACATATGTAAAAGCATCTACATGAATACTCTTTATACGCCCACATGAATATTTGTTGAAAATAGTTCGTGAGCAGGATTGAAGCTACAGTTTTCATCCGATTCTGATGAAACTTGGCATATTCATTGGAATTGATAAGATATCGGACAAGTTCTAACTTGTTAAATCACGTCGAAATTTGTTAAAAATAGTTCGTGATCAGGATTGAAGCTAGTTGAGTTATTGCCCTTGACTTTGTTAAAACGTGTCAAAGTTTGTTCGTGAGCACAATAAAAGCTACAGTTTTCAACCAATTCTGATGAAACTTGGTGTGATCATTGAAATTGATAAGATCTTGGACAAGTTCTAACTTGAGATATTTTTGATGAACTTTTTTTGAGTTATTGCCCTTGACTTTGTAAACACGCGTCAAAAGTTGTTTTTTGCCCTTGATTAGAGCTGTGTGATTTAATTGTTTGTTGTATTTGGGTTATTGATATTGATTTTAAAAAATTTTGTGGAATTACTCATCATAAATAACTGGCATATATGTATGTAATTAAATTCAAACTAATAGAATTTCCTCAATATGAGAAAATTCATACTTTAGTCACTAAAGACTGTTTTATCATTTCTGACAGCTGCCAGTGGGCGTATGTTACCTTGCCTCGCAAGCTATCTTTCTTATGTGAGTTTATATACTTACGTATTTACTTATAAATGGGGCTTTAGACTTTCAAACTTACTGCTACAGGTGTATTCTCTGGCTAATATTTTCTCTCGTAGGCCCAAAATTTGTGATATTTTTATTTAGAATTTGGCTACATAATTCAAGGAAAAATATATATTTTGGATATTTTTCTATTGTTTTTATTACAGCATGGAAATGACATTGATTTAAAACCAATCTGTAGTAGACAGATGCAGAAACAATCATTTACTGTCCATTGGGGAACAGATAATACTGGAGATATGTTATTTATGGAGGTAATCTATTCTCTCTTCTTTTGAAATTTTAATGTCATTGTCTAGTGGTGAAAAAGTCAGGGTCAAAGGTTCAATTCCAGCATGTGTCGAGAATACTTTAGGATTTTTTATCCCGATTTCCCACTGTCAGTGATGCCAGATGAAGTGCCATACATGGAAAAGCGTCTAGTTGTTTAGTTAGTTAGTACAATAAACTGAGGACCCGTGTCCTACAGGCAGTGCATGTTTAAATCCCTCGATAGTTGGAAATTGAAGAAGAGTAGGCTTATAAAACTGGCAGAATTTCTCCCATTGCATACTGCATGGCATTGCCTGTCATCATTGCAAAAACTTTAAACTCCATTTATTTATTTTTATTTTATTTTATTTTATTTTGTAAAGGTATGTGATGATTGTTTATTATTAAGAAGTGTAACAGGTTCTATACATGACCGATGGTGGTTTGAGAAGCTAGTCAATATGACTTATTGTCCTAAAACTAAAGTCTTATGTCTGTGGAGAAAGAATGGTGAAAAGGTTCAGCTTAATCAGTTTTACACTAAAAAGGTTTGTTGAAATTTATATCTTATAGAATAAGTTTATGAAATACTGTTGTGTTGAATTGGCTCTGTTATTATACGGTACTCATAGACTCTTGGTTGTAGTCCTGCAGCTACTATAGAGTTATTCTTTTGATACCTTTGTGAGCGTTGGATTTGGTGGCATCGTGACTTTTATATTCCTGATAGACTAAATTTCAGATGCACTAAGCTTTTTTCAAAGCACTGTATAAATCTATTATTAGAACATAACAAGAAATTGTATATCTGGACCAAATTTTACAATGGAATTGCTGTAGTCTAGCTATATATGTGCATTGCACAAATCTATAGAAGCTAATCTATCTTCTTCAAACCACTCCAGAATTTACGTTATACATATATATGTATTGGATTCATTTTGATTGAAACATTTAATTAAGGAAGAATGCTATTTTAGAGCTGAGATTAATCTAATTATTTATTTACAGTGTAAAGAATTGTATTTCTGTGTGAAGGAAGCTATGGAGAAAGCAGCAGCAAGAAACAGTGGCAAACTTCCTGGTATGTGCATTATTTATCTTGTAATCTTTATATTGTTAAACAGTTGAAAATGAAAATGGACTAATCTGTATTCCATTGTTCTCAACTGTTTATGATATCCATGTCTATTGTACTCTTTATTTATGTCTTTGCCAGTTAATTGTAAAACGAAGACATATGACCAATAACAAGGAATTCTCACCACAATTGAACAACTTTTAAGAAAATTAACAAATCATGTCTATGCTCCCTTGTATGTCCAGTTATACCCCAAACAGGGAACTTTAAACCTAATCTTTGTCCATAACATTATATCAAAAGCTTCTAATATCTTTTGGCTGCAGGTCCTGAACTTGGTGGAGAATTCCCTGTTCAAGATTTAAAAAGTGGACAAGGGGGATTACTCCAAGTTTGTATGGAGGGAATTGGTCTCCTGCTGGCAAACAGCAAGGTAGGTGAACCATTTTATATTTCAAATTGTTTATTTCTAATAATATTTATTATGTATTCTCTATTTTCTATGAATTGTATGATATATTTAGTTTATCAATATATGTATAAATGTTACTGTCTTTTTCTATTTGGGCCTTCAGTAATTATATTGTATTTTACATTTTATTCCTTGTCACAATGATCATAATCTTTCTTCAGAATCATACAATTTAATACATTGTTCATATTCATTTCATACATTCTAATTTGAATCTGATGCTAAACTTAGAGATTGGAAGATGCCAAAACACTCATAATTTAGGATTTTGGTATTTTGAGGAGTTAAGGAATCTGATTGGTTGTGCGATTGGTTTATATCTTTGTAAGATTGAAAAAGCAAAGTTCTTGGCATTATTGATATAAGATTGTTTTAAAGAGACAACAGGTTCAAGATAAAAATGTTTTTAAGATAATCTGAAAAAAAAAGATCCACAGCACAAATTCTTTACGAATTCTGCAAGTTCAATATTAAATAAATTGAGCCTTTCAACTTTGGTAATGAAAACAAACCGCTGTTTTTATACTAAAATGCCTAAAATATTCCGTTAATCTGTAACATTTTAATATTTTCATTTTCAGGAAATTCTACCCGTAAGATCCAAATTTCAGAATGTTTTCAAAAAATTAACACATTAAATGTTTAGATTCTACTAACACTAGATACATAGAGTAAAATCATAACAAAATCCATTTGTATGTCATCATCCACGTTGTACTTATTCCTTTTCAATCTGAAAATAAAAGAAGACTGTGTCATAATTTAGATTGCTTATAACACGACGATTTTAAAGAGTGAAAAAACACTGGTGATCATGAGTTTGATTGTTGTCTGCTTGGTACTAAGATACTGTCAAATATAACATCGTGAAAATTAACGTGATGTTTTGGAAAGCAGGACCTTTGCCATGATAAGGATTAGGAAAATACTTTTTTACGCCAATTCACAGACTTTGGGACGTACAAATGGATTTTACAATGCACTAACTGCTTTGTTTTGTTGACATTGAATTATCATTCTGTTTATTAAAGTTCATTTGAAATGCAGACATCATTTTGCATCATTAACACTGTGTGACTCTCTAGAATAAATGATATATGTTTGATTACATTTACACTTTTCATCTGGAGAGTTTCTCAAAAATAATAATATATGCATGAATGCTATAAATATTTATTTCACATTATGTATAGAAAATTAAATCATTTCTGATATATCTATATATATATATATAACAATGATGATTGACAGGCTGTTCAGGTTAAAAATTGCAAAGGATCCAATCCAAGGATGCTGCTGATGTAAAACCTCACATTGCTTTTTTTTAATTACATATAGCATTGTTGATTTTGTTGATGAACTTAATCAAAGAATAACAATTTTCAAATTGTTATATTCAATTCAAAATTCCATATACAGTTCAATTTTAGTTTTAATCATTACAACCATTGTTTTTAAAACAACAATTTTTCTCTAAAATAAACTTTTTATACTATTCTGAAATATTTTGGCCACAGCTTGAACGTTTAGTGTCGTCCTATTTTTGGCTATTTTATTCCCGTTACTGTTTCAATGAGTTCTTGTCTTTTTTTGTGATGTGCATTTTCTTTAAATCATATTTATCTCATATATTGATGTCTTTTTCAATTATTGCAGTTCTTTCATTTTCAGCATTATAATATGCATTATAATATGTCTGTGCAAACATGAATTTTCCATAATATGATCGTTTTGCTTTCTGTAATATTCATAGAAAAATGACAAAATAATGGCAGATACAGAAATTGTATATAGAATTGTGCATGAAACTCAATTTTTGATAAAATCTAAAGAATTTTATGTGCTTTAATAATTTCGAAGTGCTCTATAACATTTGTAAATAAACCACTTTTGAAATGTGTAGTTTAAGTTAATCGTTTTCAAATAAATTATTCTATCCTGCATTGGTTGTGGTTCCATTCTTTAACAGACTAGCTCTCTAACAAGCATTGGAAATTCATTATTTTGCATTAATAAGGTGCCTCAAGGATTTTGTATTTTCTAACACAGTCCTAATTTTTCTTTCCTCTTGCATCCTTCCAACCTTGGGCTTGGTGTAACAGGAGTTTGAGGTAATCTATTTTAGATTCCTAGTAGAATACATACAGCTAATATATAGATGATATTTAGGTCTAGTGGCAATATCTAATATACTATACTATTGTTGCATGCTTGGTCTTGCTGTTATTTTAGTTTGCACCTTGTATTCCATTTTGTTTTGTTTTTTGTTCCTTTTTGTTTAGTTATTTGCCTTGATTGTCTTGGATTGCCAGGTAGAAGCTTTACTAGGCCTTTATGATTGTTAACACATAATTACAGAACCTAACATCAGTTTCAAATACCACTTGTGGGAAAAGTTCTTCAATTTAGTTTCGTACTTTCGGTTTCAAAATTTACTTTGCCATATTTTGTTGTCCAGAATTTCATCCTACTTATTTGCTTACTTCTGGGTTTGCAGGTACTGCAAATTTCAAAGAAAATTATGATTTTATTTTCTACTGTCTGGGATATGCTTATTATTTTTTAACCCAAATTTGGGTGCATTTTCTCACAAGTGGTCCACTGTTCATTTGTAGTTAAGTTTCTGTCCACATTTATATTTCAGTTCTTTATTGAGCTAGCGCATATCAGGAAATGTTTCACGTTGAAGGGAGGTATTTTTGTGCTAGAGGAATTTGGTAAGCGATTCATCCAATCATTTCCTAGTCTCCTCCCTTTTTCCTATTTTCTCTTGCCCAGATCGGACATTGATTATTATTCTTAACCCTGCATGTTTTGTATTACCGCATGCTTTTAACAGTTCCAAATTTCTTTGGGTTGTTTATTTTTCATTTGATACTAATATTTGGTATGGGATTGATTCCAATCGGAGCAACCAACACGAAGGTATGGTATTTATTTTCCTTTTTCAGAAATTGTGTACATTGACATAAAATAAATAAATTTAAATTCTTGGTTATGTTTAATAAAACCTTGTTAAAATGGTGAAGGAGTTATTTCCATGATCTAAAACGACACAAATTTCAATTGACATTCAGTTTTGGGTATTGTAAGTTTCAAACTAGAACTGTGAACAGCTCTGAGCATGGCAACAAGACCTTATCTCAAATTAACATGCTCTCAGGCCTGTATGATATGAGAAAAACTTCATTCTGAACTTGGAAAAATGTAACATTGAAAGTTTTCAGGTAGGAAACAAAACAATTTTGAGTTGAGAAAAAAAATTTGAGAAACGACTTTAATGGCAGTACTAAAAGATTGATAGAAATGATTTTAAAAATATGCTGCATCTTCAAAACCTAATAATAGATTTTTGAAATAGAAATTTAACAGACTGTAGTACTGTATTTTATAATACTAATATCAATGAAGGTGGTAGATTAGCTAAAGCTGTGTCTTTTTTCTGAAATTTAACTTATATTGTTGTATTGCTCTATTAGTATTATTTATGTAAGATAGTAAACAAGCGTTGCCACATGATGGCCTTAACTATCTACGCCCTACAAACAACAATATGTTTTGACTAGTGCAATGTGACCCCAATCACATAATCCACATTTTCTCATTAATCATACTTTAGGAATTGTACACAAGAGAGAAATCTTACCCCTTGACTGTATTGTAGTAACATGTGGGACACAGGGACATAGAATATTCGAAGACTTTCAATTGACTGATTAATGGTTCAGCTTGGTGCAAATACAAAAAGTTATGACAAATTTGGTTTTTGTCATGGTGAAAATTCTCCAAAACTAGCGATCCAAAGATCTAAATGAACTCCCATTGAATAATGACATTAGATATGACGAAATCATATCGGAGGAACTGGGAGGTGTTGGATTTGTCAGGCTATATTTCTGCATGATGTCAAGGATTTCACTATTTTTGATAAAGGTTATGCTTTATTATTACTAAAACTTGTTACTCTAACTTCTGATGCTATCAAGACAACATACTGGTAGGTGAGGCGGTTTTCACATCAACAAATTTATTTTCTGCTAATGTTCACATTTTTCAATTGATGAGCTATGTTATGCCATCTTTCCCATTTCTTGGGATCATTTTAAAAGATTTTTTTTTTCATGTTGTTCTTCCATTTTGGTATTTTGACTTTCCCAAAGAATAATCTTCATCTTAAAAATTTAGCAACGTTTGAATCTAGAATTTGTTTGTGATGATTGTGAAAACAGCTTCTTTTTTTGTCTCCTTCTCTTTCTGTTATGCACTTTTTATCCCTAAAATCCTTGGTCATGGTTGGTCTTTTGAGCTGGACATTAAGGTAGGTAATGGATACAAATAGACAAATTGACAAAGCAGCTAAACAAGGGGAGATAATAGCATAAAGGGATTGAATAAAGCACAGCAGACTACATCTGGAAGAGATTATTTTCAATAATAATTATTGCTTTTAGATTGATATTGTCTTGTCAAAACTATTTTGCATATTTTACCACCCATTCTTATGTTTTTTGCACCAAATGTCTACTTTGTTGTTTCCTTGGTTCCAACCATTGTGATGATATAGTATACATATACATATATATATATATACTTAATGACAATTATCAGACAAATTTTACCGCCAAAATGTAAAATTATATTGTAATATGTATTCTATAATTGTAATTTGTCCAAAATGAATTGGAATTTTTCTATAGTTGAATTTTTATATTGTCTTCAAAAATTTTGTTGAAATTTATTTTTCAGATACCAAAAATAAAAAAATAATTCAGCACAAATTCAAATCCAGAATGGTAGGTCCTTTGATTCCTTTTTTTTAGGTTTTTCCAATGTTTCTCATGATATGTGCTTCTTTGTGTGATTTTTAATCTGAATTTATGATTTATAACACTGTGATTGGTTAACTATTTACAGCGTCCAATCATTGGATGTAAATTATTTACCAATAATATCCAGGATCTTGAAGAACCCTCGTAATGTACTATGTTATTGAAGTTAACATGATGTTGGATATCTTAAAAATAATAATTTTATTAGATTTTAAAGAAGCACATATCATGGTTCCCAGATATCTAGATCAAGTCTCTTATGTTGTAGTTATTTTGATATTTATGCATGGTTTTATATTTTGGTTGCATTCCCAATATAGTATTATTTTCTTATTTTATCTTTTTATCTTTGCATCTTGCCAACAAATTTATATAAACTGAAGAAATTTAATTAGTTGATTGAATACAACTTGATTGAATGCACTCAGTCAAAGAACTTAATGAATAATAAAATTGAACTTATTTTACTGAGGATGACAATCAAGAACAAAGTGCTTGGCAATCACAAACGCAGTGTGTATAAACACATCACTATGAAGCAAATCAATTTGCATGGTTGATAGAATGAAATAGATGATAGTTCAATCATTACCACAGTAGGTAAATTGCATGAACAGACCAAAAAGTACCTTGATAGCTTCTAGGAAAATATTCCCTCAAATTTCTTAGTTACAATAATACAATTCAAACTGATGAATCTTTTTAAGGTGACAATTCTTTTTGGGTCCTTTTTCATTTTGCTTTTTTCAAAATGGCTAAGCATGATTATAATCTTTAAATAAATCAAAACATTTTTATAAAATTAAATTCAAAATGCTATTTATGATTTTTTTTCTTATTTGAATGCCGTTTAATGGGTTTGTCTATTTACATCTATCTCAATTCTTTTCTTTTTAATATTCACATCTCCAATAGGCAAATGAGGCAGCGTTAATGATACATAGAATATTTGCTGTGAAATGGGCAAAACAACAAAAGAGTCTGAAAACCATATTCCCTGATGAAAATGGCAACAGTATGCAAGCTAATTAAAAATGTATAGACCTGCTTTCATTTTGTTTGCTTTTTTGTTTAGTTTGCTGCAAACCCCCCTTTTCTCTTTAAATTACTAATTTTTTAATCTTGTTTTTTTTTTCTGTTCATTGCTTTGTATTAATTATAATTCATATTGAATCTCTTTCATATCTTAAGTTATCTTGTAAGATATCAAATGTACAAAAATTACGAATTTGGGATATATGTGAAAAACAGTAATTGGGATGAATACAAGGATAATAAGTAATTGTATGGGATGTACAAAAATTGATAGGTATGTACAGAAATTAGTAATTGGGATGTACACAAAAATATTAATTGTGATTTACACAAATAGTAATGGGAATGTACAAAATTGGATATACAAAAACAAGTTATTGGGATGTATTAAAATTAGTAATTGGGATGTTCGAAAACAAGTTATTGGGATTTACAAAAATAAATAATTGGCATGAGGACAAATTAGTAATTTGGATATACAGAAAAGGGTAATTGGGATTTTCACAAATTAGTAATTGGGATGTATGAAAACAGGTTATTGGGAATTAACACCATTGGTGTGTACAAAATTTAGTATTAAGGATGTACAAAAAAAAAGTACTTGGAATTTACACAAATTAGTAATTGGAATGTACAAGATTGGGATATACAAAAGCAAGTTATTGGGATGTCTTGAAATTAGTTATTGGGATGTACGAAAACAAGTTATTGGGATGTACAAAAACTAGAAAATAGAATTATGAAAATAAGTAATTGGGGTGTACAAATATATTAATTGGGTATACAAAAACTAAGTACACGAATAGGTGATCAGGATATACACAAATCAGTGATTAATACAAAATACATCTGTAATTGAGATATGTTTTGCAATGAATGAAATTTTTTCTGTCTTAATAGTCAGATGTAGAAAGAGAGTTCAATTCAGCTTCTTCAATTTAGTTTAGTTTTTGTGGGATACTGTTGCACAGTTGTTCACTAATTAGTTTTTATTTACAATAATTGAATAATTTTATAATTTTAATTCTTAGATATTTAGAATTTTTTTATTAGCTCCAAAGTGTTGAAGCAAAAAGTTTTGTGATAATTTGGGAAAATTTTTGTCAACAGCACTTAGCAAAATGTTTAGTTCATATTCCTGCTTTTAAAATTACTAATTTAAGATATTCAAGATTTTCACATAATTAGTAATATAGCAAAATTCAACTGAATGTGGGCTGTTATATCTACATTCATTTCAAGTGCACATGCAATGAGGTTTGACAATATTCCTTTCAGTTTATATAACTGAAAACAATTGAATCAAGTTTTGGCATTATTTAAAAACGACATTTTATTTTTCAACATCTTTGCATAAATTAAAAAACCTGATATGGTTCCTTCTTCATAAATTTGTTTAAAACAATTGATAAACAGTATTAGTGTATAGAAATGATTTTTGAGGTGAAAATCTTGAATATCTTAAGCTAGGCCAATATATTTATAACAATATCACCTATATCACTAAATTTATTTCTATTTTTTAGTTTCAATAAAATATAGTAAACGATAATTTATATGATTTTACTTTGCACAACATGCACAAATATTTTATAAAGTCTTGATTGAAAAATATATCCTTCCTATTTTGATTCATCAATTGTTATTATTATTATTATAATTATTTTAAAGATTGAATAAAAAATAATGAATATCTCTGTCCTCTCATTCCAGGCTGACCAAATGTGTTATGCAGTTTTATGTTTATTTTCTTATGTAGCAGCCGGAGTCGAGCAAAAGAAACAACAACCTCAACAAACATCATCCTGACATCGCGTCCAATTATAAACATCTCTAGCATAATATTATTATTATTCTTCCAATTTTAACATCTTCAGGGTTTCTCTTTCTCCTGATATTTTTAAGAGCATTGTATTTAAATGTTCAATTATGAATTTATATTCAAAAGTTTAGTATTCAAATTTTTATTGATGATGAAATTGTATTCAATTGTTCAAAAGGTATGATTATTATTAAGTTATATTGAAATGTTCAGTGTTGAATGTTCAATGATAGTATTATATTGAAATGTTCAACTAAAACATTATATTGAAATGTTCAGTTTTCAAAATTTCAATGATGAAATTTTATTCAAATGTTCAATTATAAAGTTATATGGAAACGTTCAGTATTTAAATTTGTAATGATTATATTATATAATTATATTCTAATGTTCAATGATAAACCCTGCTATAATAATTACAAATCAGGGATTTTTTCAAATTTAAATTTGTCTTTTTAGGTGTTAAAATTTCTTGTGGTTTAATCAATTTCTTTGTTTAGGTGTTACATGTTTTTCAAAACTTTTATCTTTTTTAAATTTGTCATTCAAACTAAAACCATTAATTAACAGAAAGAGAAACTCTGTCATATGATTACAATTTATTATAAAATGCTCAGAAAATATTTTAGGGTACAGTGCTCATAATGTATTATATAATTACTCAATATTATATTATATTATATAAGATATATATATTTTCAAAATAGATTATATTACAAATTATATTCCATGCTTTAAATGATTGTCATCATATAATTCAGAGGTATTCCATTTTGATTACAAGGTTAAGGGATTTTATCAATTCATTGCAATTTTTGACTAATGCTTTAACTAAAAGATGTGATCTGCATTTACTATCATTTCATTCAAATGTAAGACTAAATTGGCTCTCACAGCACAGTGAACACACGTTGTGTATGGTTGCACATAAGAATAGCTGTCATAAGTGCAACAGACATACAACATTTATTATGGCCTTTGTCATTATTCACAGCCATACGCAACTCGTAATCACTATGGTGTGAGAGCACCTTAAAATTGTATTTACTACCTTGTAATAGACATACAAAATTGCATTTATAACAGTCTTCCTCATCTGATCATTAATTAAATTTGAATAATTTATGTGCATAGATAATTAGGAAGATCACATCATGTGATTTCTTTGATTATAGCATTTAGGTGGAAGATACATAATACTTTAAATAAAAGAATGCTTTAACTAAAGTTTGTGAATAATTGTTGAATATTTATTATATGATACTATAGGTTGAGTATTTCTGTCTCAAAAAATAAACCGGTTTCAACATTTCAGCTCATATGACGACATCTAGGTGCCTTGCAGTATAGGAAAAGATAATTAACTAAAGATATTTATAATTATATTTATTTTAATTCATTATGGTGCTTTATTTCTGTGACATATCCAATCCAAAGGTTATAATTAGTAAAAGGGATCTTAATATACAGTTAATCAGAATTTCATAAAGCTATCATGGTTTGATAGAAATAAATAGTTTTAACTGGAAAATAAATGTTAATCATTCTGAGAAAAATGGTTAAATCCAGCATTCTAGCCAGTGAATAAGAGAGCTATTGATTCTACAAGCACAGTTTGGTTTGGAATGAGTCTGACAAATCGGCCTATGAGACTTTGTAATTGAATTTTTGTCAGAACATGATGGCTTTAATTCCTTAAATGTAGACCAATTAAGACCTTTTACTGTGATATACTATTATTATTATTATTGTTATAAATCTATTTATATGTATTTAGTTATTGTTTCGTAGCTGAAAATTGTTCCATTGTTTGAGGTCAAATTGTTAATGGAAGGTTACAATCCTCAATGAAGAATATAAAACCATAGAAGGTAAAGATCTTGTTAGCTATGAAGCATATCTCAAAAGTTTTGACCATATTATTTATAATTGTCTAATGCAAATTTGCAATAAAGGATATATATAGAGAAATTTGAAATTATTAGACTGAATGAGTTCAGTTTGAAAATTACTCTCAAACAATGAAGCAATCTTTCTTAAATTAGAAAGAAATTCTTATCTATATTTATAAGATAATATTTATTTATTTATTTATTCTTGCCTTTCACATGGTCAATGCCACTGGATTTGAATTGTGTATATAATGAATTATTGTTATAAAAGAAATATTGTATATAGGTGAATATTAACTAATATTTAATATTATAAAATAGATCTGTCAACTAGAGGGTGTTATATTCTAACTTTTGGTTCAAAATATATGGTGCTGTCTTAAAGCACTTCAGATCTTTATGCCATCACCAGCTGGAAATTATGTGAAAATATTTTTCAATGATGTGGAAATAACAATGAAAGCATATCTTTTGAGTGGGCATGAGTTTTTATAGAAACTGGTTACTTTGATTGTAAAAAACACTTACAAGCCCTTGGTAATACCCTACCAATCAACAATATGGAATGTTATCTGAAATTTCTATATCTGAATTTCAGATCTAAAATTGGTTAGCTGTTGCAGATGCACAATAAAGTGTAAGATTAAAGAGATTCAGTGGAAATTTCTTGTTTAAGGTGCATTTTGAAGCTATAAATGCACAGACACTATAATAGGCCAGAAAACCTGTTTGAATACCTCCAATTAAATGAAAATTCTATTCAAAAGTTACATATAACATGTTTTGGTTGAGGGATATTTTAGAAGTGAATGCAATGTAGTTATTTAGTTGTATTATATTGTAGTATAGTCAATTCTTACATTATTATCTAATGTAAAACCTTTTGTGATATTCCAATATTAATCTTTTAGTTCTTGAATAGATATTATAGACCAGTTTCCAAAATACCAAAATTTAAGTGACTTTGGAAATTAATTGGCAAATTTTGATATTATAGCACTCTCAAAATTTAAAGCTGAAAATCTTACTTGATTTTTGTGTTGGGTTATCCTTGTGCCAACTCTGGTACCAAATGTGACTTAAGAACACAAAACTAGCAGTTTAGCGAGTTGTTTAACATTTGGTAACAGATAGATGATATAAATTGCATCTGACTTTCATTCCATTTCAAGTTTTGTCACAGTGACTAAGCCATTAAGGATCACATGCTGGAAATCAAGAGTAGACATACCATTGATAGATATTTGTTTTTGATACGGTACTGGACACACCGATTGAGCATAATCTGCTATTCACTTCTTTGATTGTTTATTTTTGTCCATTTAATAGTAGGAGTAGGCCATGATTATATTATAGTCTTGAAGAGTTTCTTCAACATAAGGTTCATTCAATATTCACGGCGAGTTTCAAACTCAACTCTCATTGAATCAACCAATCAGTCTGCAGTTTCTGTAGTCTGTATTAACCTGTATTAACCTACAATAGTTCAGTATTCTATTATTATTTGATTTCCAATGTTTACTTACAGGGTGGATTTAAATTGTTAAATCTTTATAATAACATAGCATGAATAAAAGATTAAAATAATTTAAAGTTGTCCTCAACTGTACTGTTTCAATACGGACCATCAAAAGGTAGCCGCAGAATTGGGGGCAAAGAACAATAGACATTTAAGAACTCAATAGTAAAAGCCGCCCAGCCATCATCAGACCATCATCTTCACAGTGTCAAGATTTGACTAAAGATTTGAGACGAAATTCGGAATATCTTGACCATTGTGAGGATTTCAACATCAACATCAGACAAAATATTACCGGAGCTGGAATAAGAAATTGACGAATCTAGAAACTGGTGTTTATATTATTTGCTTTTTCAAAGGTCGATAGAATAACCAACAGAACCTTACATAACACATTTCAGAACAGTGTAGGCAGGCTACCCTTGTGACACTTGTGATGACACTTGTGATGCCTTCGTTCGTAAACCATGCATATTAGGCCTAATCAAAATCACTAAGACTATAATAACTCCCCAGGCCTACTCAAAGGGACCGACACCAAGTGGTACCCTAGTCATTTTCACAATGTCAGGCAATTACAAACTTCGTCTTATACCTTTACCGAAAAAGCTACTTGTCTTGCATCACAGATTTCAGTGATTTGATTGAATTGTATGCCAGAATACAGTCAATCGTACAATCGTAGCCCTGGACATTAATACTTAACACTATGACTTTCTGTCAAAGGCTGTTATGACATTGTGAAGATGAAGTCTAGTATGTTTAGACGTAAAACATGGGAGTTGTTTGGAATTTTGGAATATTCTTCTGTGCCTTTATACTTTTCACATTATTTGGGAATTGTGAATCAAGACCGGATCCTGGAGAATTAACCAGGTGAGAAAATCTATGCGTGAGCAATATAGATATTAAAATGTTTCAAATTATTGAAAAGAATGAGGAAGTCAAAAGCTAGATCATTTGCCTATGAAAATAGATGCATACTAGCATGTTAATAACGGCCTGGCAGTGGGGAGATCTTTTTGTTGTATTGTATGGGAACTGTACGTTTATTCTGAAACGTGATAAGGATGGCTGAAATTGAACTATATTTAGATGGTCAGGTTGATTTTTTGATCAAAATTCGATGATTTTCGCGGACTTTCATTTTAGGAATGGATTCTATACAGATGCCGATGGACATGATTACAGTTCAGAAAAATCATTATTGATTAACGATCCCAAATCGGAATTCAGAACAAAACCATCAGTTTTAACAAAGATCACTTTTTCTGAAAAAGGTAATTGAGAATAATATTTGAAAATATTCTACTTTCGTGTTTCTTTCGACACTTTTTCATGCGTTAGTATTTTATGTGGCGCAATGAAAGCTATTACCACACGCGTCTAATACCTTCACTTTATCATAGAGGTATGAATATACAGCGATTTGATTGGAAAAAATTCATTAGGTTTATTAAAATCATTCGGGATCAGATACAAAAGAAATTCCTTCTACTACGAAACTTCACTTACTCAAGGAGGCTGAGTTTTAAACTTTCTCTATCCAGTATTGGCTACCAGAGGCTACTAGAGGCTATTAAAATCAATATCCTCGGTAATAATTAAGGAAACACGAATATGGAAAGTGTGGGGTTAATAGGGAAACGGAAAATATTAGCAGGGGATGAATGGGGTTTAAAGATGCTTAGAAAAGCATTTTTTTTATCTTTTTTTTAAATCGCCACAGAGAGCAATCAGACCAAACGTACCCGAACGCCCATGGATTTTTTTATCGGTTGTTCAAGCGACATTATACTTTATGCATGTTAGTTTCTCTTCTGGACTGTACATATCTTTGTTTTGCAGGAGGGTGGAAGAGAGAATTGTATTCTGGGATAATTTATACGAATTTTATGGACAGATTATGTCAAGTTTGTCGATATTATAGAAAATCTTTCCGCTGTATTCTCCGATATTGTTAACCTAACGTAAAGTAAACATTCCAATAAACTGAGTTCGTTGAATTGAAAGTTGCAACACAAAAGGTAATTTATTATCTGTTCGTGTTCTAAAAATTATACAAACATATATCAAATAAAGATAATCTTATACTCTTATTGCTCATTGTGATTTTGTATGAACATTTGTATGTTCAGAGCTGAACCCATCTACTTGAGGGTCGTTGAATATTTGTTACTTTGTAACATATTTGCCACTGACGGCAAAATAGTCACACCCTTTTTGAGCCGTTTCCGTTCGGCTTCGCGGAACCGGCAATCGTATGTTGCATTTATCCAAAATTGCGTGGATCTGATTGGCTTGAACCACATCCTACATTGTTGGTAAGCTCGTTTAATGTTGTCTCGTAGCATTGATCAACAGCTCACAAGCTAGTTGAAGTTGAGCTTCATCGAAAGTCATCGAAATGGAACATTCGACTTGGTTAACCCAGACACCTCATTATAACTTACCATTTCAATTGCGGATTTCCTTTACACCAAACCCTTCAAGTAGGGTAAGCCCCTTTAAGCGTTCTGATACATAATAGAACTGGTGCAGAAAGTTTTTTTTTAATATAAGTAGCTTATATGTCTCATTTTCCCCAAAAATCTCTTGGAAACCCCCACTTTACATCTCTTCACATATTTATAAACAGCGAAATGTCGGGGGTTTCAAATTACAAACGAGGTGGTTGCAGGGTTAACATTTTATAGGTCGAACTCTTGAACGTTAAGCATGAAATTTGTTTGGAATTGCGGAATATTCTTCTGTGTCTTTATGCTTTTACTTTTCTCTTTATTTGTTTTTGGGAAATGTGAATCTAGACCGAAACTTAGAGAATTAAGGTAAGAACCTGAAATCGTTAGCGTATGAAATATAGACCATAAAAACGCATATATCTGGAAGGAATATATACTCGGTCAAGTTCAATCCTTTCCATTAAGGGATTTCTCTGACGAGGTAGAGGATGAAAATTGAAGCAAAATAGCATAGCATTGTTGCATTGTATAGGTCTGATTTTTTTATTCTGAAAGGTGAATTAGGTAGCCGAAATTGAGCTATATTTAGATGAGTCTATTTTTCCATCAAACCCACCAAGTCACTGGATCTCACGTTCGCAAAACGGTGATAACGCTAACGTAGTAAAAGTCATAGTTCATGTTCACGTGGACTAGTTCTTACTGACTTCCATTTTAGGAATCAATTCTCTACAGATGTCGATGGACATGACGACAGTTCAGATAAATCATTATTGATTAACGATCAAGATCTTCCCGGTTTGGAAATCAAAGCAAGACCATTAGCTACACCAAAATCATTTGCCGGGATCAGATACAGAAGAAGTGTTGAGGGTTATTCAAGAGATTCGGCAGGCCCACCGGGTCCACGATATTCCCCCAACAACCATACTTCACTATCTGAAGAAGGTAAATAGGAATATTATGTTTCTTTCAATAGTCTTGACATGCGCCCGATGCAGTGGCGGAGCCAAAGGGGGGGGGGATGTTCCCCGCCTCCCCCTCGCAGCCCCAAAGCATGTTTTTCGGGCAAATATATCATAACTTCGTTAGAAATTCGGCCAACCTCGGGTATCTTCCCTCAATGCACTCTGCATGGCATTGCCGTC